CCTCCTCTTAATTTACAACCAATGATCTCTTCATCCCATGTTCCATCTATTATCTATAACCAAATCCATAAAGTATCATCATTTCAGTCCAACTGATGACTTACCCTAAGAGAGAAATCTGGGCTCAAGATCTCGGAGGTGTCAATGCAAAACTGAGCCATGCCATTTGCACTGGTGCTGTAATTGCCCACATTTTTGCTGTTAAGTAATAGTTGGACGACCTCATTTGCAATGGGAGAGTTATCAACATCAACCAGTTTCAACTAAAGAGAAAGGAAAACTTCAGAGACATCAGAAACTAACTTCTGATCCTGCAACACTTTGTAATTAGGTATGTATAATTAACTGCTTTAGGCTTGTAAAAATTGTTTGGTATACCCCAAATCCCTCAAATATTTCACAGGAGGAAAAAATATTATCTTAAGGGCACAATTTTATCCACCCTAATGGAATATGATTCTTCAGTTCACTTCACAAGGCTTGGAAACACAGCTCCACTTGTGGAGGCAAACCAGTGTGAAATTCCCTGACCTCCTCTGCCAGTCTCTGAGGCAGCTGTTTCCAAAATTAGAAACAATAGCTCCGAAATGACCTCAAAGGACAGAGTCATGTGGTATGGTACAGAAGGAACTCATAATCCAAAAAACAAACAAAGAAAATCCTCAGCAACTTATCATAACCCTAATAGAATTGATCATATTCCCTTCTTTTGCAAACGTGAAATACTTTAATTTGGGGGATGGGGACAGAAAGCAATTAATACAGCTATTTTTTCTGTGTGAGCTGCTGAGAGTCATTTTTGATTGCAGCAGCATAGAATTATGATAAATAAATGAATAAAGTATTTCTTGTTTCTACTCTGCAAATTTTTTGCTAGAAGAGCATTTGGAATTGTTCCTCTCCACTGTATAAGTTAGCCAGTTGATATTTATAGAGTGCATTTTATATTTACAACTATAACATTTAGTATCATAGCTACCCTTACGATAACCCTCTAAAGGAAATTATTATTTGCATGTTACCTGCTGAAGAAAAAATAACAATGGCTGTCATTTCTACCCTAGTGCATTATAATATCTTACAGCTTCATCCAGCCATTGCTGTGGCAATGAATGAAGACAGATTTTATATTGCTGGAGTAAAACTGGGTGTTGCTATAAATAGAAAGACTTCCATAAATAGGGCAAAATGGTATAAATCGCTAGTGTGGAAGTGGTCTGGAATTCAACTTGGGGATTTTCAAATTTGATGCTCACATTCTTTGTTACCATGCTACAAAGTTTTCAAATTCACAATACATTTTTAAAAATCTAGCAACAACTTGAAGATTTGCAGAAAACCCTAAAAGCTAACATATGCCCATGCTAATGCTGAAAATATTTCTCCTGTAAGTCCCCCTGCCATTTCATTCAAATTTAGTTAAAGTTTCAATGGAGCATCTAATTCCATTATTCAACCATTTTGAATGTTTGAAGTTTTCCAGGATCACCTTTGGTAGCTGAGGTATAATCAGTATCTCTTGAAACAACCATTTAGGCTGGGACGTATCCAATTCTCATGTTACCTGTCCACAATATGAAATCCCCCTTCTGTAGTTTTGTTCCATATTTTCAAAAGTCACTGTTCCTAGTACCCGAGAAATTGAAATGGAGGCCAAACGGTCACTCTGTACCCCTGTTTGAGTATACCAGGGCAAAAATAAAAATTAGTCTTGAATTTTTAATTTAATTCATGGTAAACTTAATATATGGTAAACCAGTTATTTAAAGTTGTTTATGGCTGTATTTCTATATCTTCCTAGCAGCTATTAACCTTTTTGATTAAGCAGAAGGAGTTACCTGTTCCTTTTTCTGTAACAACAGCTTTCACATCAAGATTCATCCAATAACCTGAACGATTAAGTTCAAAAGTCTTGGAGCTAAAGATATGGGAAAGGCAGCCATCCTTGCCTAGCTGATAACAAAAAAAAAAAAAAAAGGAGGGGGGAATTCCAATGTGAACAGGAAAATGGATTGTCAAAGATTACCATGAAAAGTCTTCCTGGTACTCATTGTATAAAAGCATATCTTTGGGCCAGAATACCTAACTATTGGGGTAGATATTTGTTAGATTCCATAGAGCCATGCTTAGTCCTTAAACATGCTATGAAATATTCCTAAGCCTTAAAATGCAACATCCTCATCAAAATCTGTCTTGCATAGAGGACCAATTCCAAGTATTAGTTCTGCTCTATGCTTTTCTGAACCTAGCTAATAACCAATTGGGGCACTGGAAAATCCTGCCTAGACTTTCTCCATGCTAACACTGAAAATGAGGTGAGGAATGAGGAACTACTGGTTCTTCTGCATGATCTCCATATTCAGTGGAAGATATGGAAGGAATTTCTATGTGTGTGGCATCGGTCCAACAGGCAAAATTTCATATCCAACAATTTGTAAATTTTTGTGGGGAAGAGGGTAAGCAGCAATCTGCTGATATCAAAGCAACATGGCACTTCCACCTCCATTGAAAGAGAACATTTCTGGTCCCACAGGAATATTATTCAAATTATATCAACTCCAATATAGGATTTTTTTTTATTTCATGTAAGGTGGGGCGTACATACTATAATGCAGAAAAAATTGTCTAGGGATGTAGAAAGGCTCTAAGAAAAAGGAGAAGGCAGTAAAAGAAAGGAAAGCATCAAAAAGTTTACAGAAAGATGAATCTTACTTTTTTGTTAACAGATTCACAGACAGGATCTTTCTTGCAGGTTCCATAAAAATTGATATTTCTACATACACTGAGCTGAACGTTTCCCTCAACTGGTTGCCCATAGGTGTATCTAGAGAGTAAGGGAACACACTGGAGAAAAGATGGCTTTGATTTAAACAAGATCTGGAAACATATAGAATTAATATAGGGAATGAATTTCCTCGGACAAATGTTCATGTTAATTTTGCATTCATCTGCAATGGTTATCAACTACCAATTAATTAGCAATAACTGTGTTAGAGAGTTTTACTTCAAAGTTTGTGTCAATACTTACACACTGCACACCTTCACTTTGAAATCAGGATTCTCCACAGAGACAGTTTTGGGTGCGCTGATTGTGACATCAAACTTTGGTAATACTGGGAAGTAAAAATGGAAAATGACATATTCTACTTTTTTTTTCTTCAGAAATTTACTTTGCAATTCTAAACTATCTGGCAAAAATATGACTTCAGAGAAATCAAGAGGGATCAGCTCCTCAGTAAAATACTAAAAACCACTGTCTAGAATGGAATGTTCTAGGAAAATTTGTTTTTACTTGTTTTTAGTTTGAAAAATCATGCCGTTCTAACACATTTTCCATATATTTTTCATTCAATTTTTAGACCTAGGAAGGTCTTCAGCTCTTCTTGAGAGAGCAAAATATAAAGAGTCACTTCTGGTGAGATGGGCAGCTATATAAATTTGATAGACAGATAGATAGAAATATATTTATAACCGCTGTCAAGAAGACTGGAAGCTGCTTCTTTATAATCTTTCCTTTCCTTTCCTTTCCTTTCCTTTCCTTTCCTTTCCTTTCCTTTCCTTTCCTTTCCTTTCCTTTC